GACTAGCTGTATGGGACAGGATTTTCAGTGATTCCTACGCACCTGTGGGGAGTCACAGGTCTAAATACAGTCAGGTGTCACTCACCGTCATTACGTGAGCACCGTGGAGCGTCTTTACACAACCCTAGTCGGGGTAGCCTCCTACAGCCCTGGGCTCTGTGGTGCAGCTCAGTGCTCCTAGGCTGCCAAGAAGTACAGCGTGTTACGGGACCGGAGACTGTAGGCAGCTGTGACACGGCGGTGAGTGTTTATATATCTGAACGTGTCTGCGTGTAGAAAAGGTACAGTAAAAACACACTGTGAGGGACCAGCGTCATGATGGGATATTTATGTCACTGAACTCCCATGCAGTCAACCATTGTTCGAGTCCCAGACCTGGCAGCTTAAAACTCAACACTGGGCATGTGTGCATGTGTGCCCCAAATCCCGGGAGGAGAACAGAGGAGAAGGGATTGTGGCATGGCCATCTCTGATTTCTTGCTTTCTGTCTCTCTGTCTCTCTGGGAAGCGCACGCACCCTATAGCAAAAAGTTCTCTTAAAAAAAAATATGGGACCAACAGTTAACATAACGGCTATGTCGTTGGACTCCCATATAGTAGACTGTGGTTCGAGTCCAGGACCCTCACACTGGGAGCGTGTGCATGCCTGCCCAAGATCCCAAGAGGAGAATGGATAAGGGATTGCGGCATGGCCATCTCCCCGCTGAAGTGATTTCTCACTGTCTCTCTCTGTCTTTCTGGAAGGGCATGTGCCCTACAGGAATAAACCTCTCAAAACAAACAAACAAACAAACAAACAAAAAAAGTATGAAAGATTAAAAAGTCAGCGCTAGCAGCTGGCATAGTGGTTGAAGTACTGGACTCTCATGTTCCCTACTGTGGTTCAAATCCTGGGCCCTGGAGGCTTGAAACATACTGTGCATGTGTGTGTCTCCCCAAAATGGAAAAGAAGGGACTGTGACATAGCCATCTCCCCTTGACGGTTGATTTCTCACTTTTTCTTTCTCTGTCTCTGCTGTGCACACCCTACAGCAAAAATCTCTCTGAAAAAAAATAATAATTAATTTAAAAATGGCATAACTGTATAGGTCACTTATCTAGAGGAGAGCTTTCAGGGCTGGACGTCGCTCTGGTGAGTCAGTGAGGGAGTGTGAAGGCCTAGGACGGTACCTGAACACGGCTGTAGAGGTTAGAAACACCATCTCCACATCTTGTAAAAACCCACTTTGTGGTAACGTGGTGGCTCTATGGACTTGAGAGTACAAGTTTACTTTAGAGAGTTCTGGTTCTAGGTGAACCTTGGATCAAAAAAGTTTATGTAACCCAAAGATATTGAGCCTGCTCCAAACTTTCTCAGTTTATAAATTAATCTGAACTTACAGTAATTATTTTACTATATAAACTGTTCTCTCTCTCTTTTTATATTTTTTATTATTTTTTATTATATTTGCCAAAGGTTGCATGAGTTTGCTGAAGAGAGAGGGAAAGTGAGCAATCACTCCCCAGGGGGATGGCCACACCACAACCCCTTTTCTCCCATTCTGCTCCTGGGATTTGAGGCATGCATGAACATGCACCTGGCGTGATTTCCAAGCTGCCAGGTCCAGGATATGAACTGCTATCGGCAAGGTAGGAATCCAGTCCCTTAACAGCCACACCAACTGCAGGCTCCAGCTTTTCATGTTTTTCTTTTTAAGTTATTGACTCTTGCAGTAATACTTAGCTTAAAGTATGTATATATTATATAGCTACAAATATATCTTCTTTCTTTTTAGCATTGTTCATTATTATGACTACATTTTTATAACTTCTAAAATATTTTTGTTAGAAAGTAAGGCACCCACACATGAGCCTAGGCCTACATAGAGTCACACTCATTCATATCACTGTCTTCCATCTCCACATCTTGCCAGGTGGCTGGGCCATGATGAACACAATGAGATTAAACCAAGCACAAGAGTAAATGATACAATCCAGGGACCAGCAATTAGCGTAATGGCTATGTCACTGGATTCCCATGTAGCCAACAGTGGTTTGAGTCCCAGACCCGGTGGCTTAAACTCATGCCAGGTGCGTGTGCGTGCGTGCCCAAGATCCTGAGAGGAGAATGGAAGAGAAGGGATTGTGGCATGACCATCCCCCCTGGGGGGGTGATTTCTTGCTTTCTATCTCTCTGTCTCTCTCTGTTTTTCTGGTGAGTGCACGTGCCCTATAGCAAAAACCTCTCCAGAAAAAAAAAAAAAAGAAAAAAAGAATAAATGATACAATCCAGAGATGTGGCAAACACAGGATGTAGGAGGTGCTTCTGCATAACACAGCGTACTGTTTATAGTGCAGTTTTTTTTTAAAAGGTTTTTGCCACAGGGCATGTGCACTCACCGGAGAGAGACAGAGAGAAAGGGAAAGTGAGAAGTCACCTCCCAAGGGTATGGCCACACCACAATCCCTTCCCCATTCTTCTCTTATGACTTTGACCACACACGCACATGCGCCCTGCATGATTTTCAGACTGCTCGGTCTGGGGCTCAAACTACAGTCAACTGTACGGGAGTCTGGTGCCTTAACCACCATGCCACTTGCTGGCCCCTATAAAACATTTTTGAAAATGAGAAGAACGAACACATTCTAAACTAATGATAATAATATAATAAATACATGAGTCAGTAATTGATTGATTACATTGTCATGTATTATGAGCTATATTTAATCATATGTGCTATACTTTTTTTAGAAAGATTTTTGCTATAGGCTGTGTGCACTCGCCAGAGAGACAGGGACAGAGAGAGAGAAAATGAGAAATCATCCTCCGGGGGGATGGCTATGCAGCAATCCCTTCTCCTGTATTCTCCTCTCAGGTTCTTGGGCACACATGCACACGCGCCCAATGTGAGGTTCGAGCTGCCGGGTCCAGGACTTGGACTGCAGTGGACAATTTCGGGGGTCCCTGACTTGTATGTGCTATACTGTGATATAACTGACCGTGCAATAGGTTTTACCCCAGTGTCACCACCAACACATGACCAAGGGGTCACACCGCTGTGACAGAACAGCAACAGTGTCCCAGGTGACATGTATTTCAGCTCCAATACAGTCTTAAGGGACCACCATCGTGTATGTGGTCTCTCGTTGACTGAAAGGTCAGTGTGAGATCTGGTGGTTTGAAAGGTCATTTCAACGTGCATGAGTCTATATCAAAAGGAAAGAAGAAGGGGAATTACCGGGACTGGAGCACAGGAGATGCCGGACCTCTCCTGGGACTCTACAGTCTTAAGGGACCACCATGGTATATGTGGTCTCTTGTTGACTGAAAGGTCATTTCAACGTGCATGAGTCTATATCAAAAGGAAAGAAGAAGGGGAATTACCAGAACTGGAGCACAGGAGATGCCGGACCTCTCCTTGGACTCCAGAGAACTTGTAAAAACCTGACTTTGTGGTAATATCGTGGGTCTATGGACTTGAGTGTACAAGTATACTTTAGCGACTTCTGGTTCTAGATGATCCTTGGGTCCAAAAAAGCTTATGTAACCCAAAGATATTGAGCAATTCAGCCTGCTCCAAACTTTCTCAGTCGAGTTCCTTGAGCAGCTATTTTTAGTGTTTCTCTCTTGAAGGAAAAGGAGGGTGCTGCTTGATTTTCCATCTCAGCCCTACGAGGTGGCCCATGGGTGTGTGGTTCTCCATTCCTGCCCACCCCATGGCAGGGCAGAGCCCGCCCTGTTCTCCTGCCATTTCCCACCTGCAGGGCACACTGCTTACTAACCTCAGACGGTGGCCCTCAAGGTCCATCCATCTGTCTCTCTATCTATATCTACTGCAAATTTCTGCAATTCTTTGATTTATGCATTTTCTAATTGCTTCATCTTACCCCTCATCTTGTCCCTGATCTTAAGGTCCCATGTGTACTGACTTTTTAGAGCTATTAACTAAGGACACCAGTGGTGTGTGTTCATAACAGAAGGTTCATTTTAGCCATCATGGCTGAGAGTCTGTGATGTCCCTGGCACTTACCAAACACTTCATACCCACTCTCCTTGCTTGAATCCAGCCTGCAGGTGGTTTATCTCAGTCTTGCTCAGGGTCACACAAAGGGCAAGTAATCCCAGAGTCCTGCCCTTTCTCCTTCTCTGGCTCAGCATTAGCTCAGATGCCCTGTCACACACAAGAGGACATGTGGCTGGGACTTCTGGTCTCTGCCTGGCTTTGTGCAGAGGGGATTGCCTGAGCCGGCTGAAAGGCCACTGATGCAGGAGAGCTCAGACTTGCCTCCCTCGCGATGAACTAGTAGAACGTGTGGCTGGGTGCCATTTCCCACCTGCAGGGCACACTGCTTACTAACCCCAGACGGTGGCCCTCAAGGTCCATCCATCTGTCTCTCTATCTATATCTACTGCAAATTTCTGCAATTCTTTGATTTATGCATTTTCTAATTGCTTCATCTTACCCCTCATCTTGTCCCTGATCTTAAGGTCCCATGTGTACTGACTTTTTAGAGCTATTAACTAAGGACACCAGTGGTGTGTGTTCATAACAGAAGGTTCATTTTAGCCATCATGGCTGAGAGTCTGTGATGTCCCTGGCACTTACCAAACACTTCATACCCACTCTCCTTGCTTGAATCCAGCCTGCAGGTGGTTTATCTCAGTCTTGCTCAGGGTCACACAAAGGGCAAGTAATCCCAGAGTCCTGCCCTTTCTCCTTCTCTGGCTCAGCATTAGCTCAGATGCCCTGTCACACACAAGAGGACATGTGGCTGGGACTTCTGGTCTCTGCCTGGCTTTGTGCAGAGGGGATTGCCTGAGCCGGCTGAAAGGCCACTGATGCAGGAGAGCTCAGACTTGCCTCCCTCGCGATGAACTAGTAGAACGTGTGGCTGGGGCTGCTCCTCAGTCTGTCGTAAGTCAGAGGTTAATCAGAGGGCCAGGAAGACCTTTCATCCCCTCCGCTGCTTCTATTTACCTATTACTCGACTGCTGCCCTGCTCTTCCTGTGACAGGAACTTCCCACTGTCTGGCTACTGTAGGCCATGCCCATGGTGGAGCTATGGCTGTCTCTCGAAAGGAGACCCTTCCTCCGAACTCTAGGAGGAGTAACTTTTGGGTGGAAATGCCCTTATACTCACTAAAACTCTCCCTCTGAAATTTTCCCCTAAGGCCCGCCAGGATGCCCATCATGGCGAAAGACATCATGAAACTCCTGTGTGCCATTTCTGAGCAGAGGAAAATGAAGGCGGCTTTCAAACACTCGGGGAGGGGTGCACTGGTCACTGGGATTGTGGCTTTTATGGGAGCACTAGTCGGTGGCCCACCGGGACTAGCCGTTGGTAAGTGCCATCATAGGGACAGCCTGTGGGTATCGTAAAAGGGCCTTGGAAACCGCAGGAAGGAACAGCCTCCTAAAAGTGGTGCCCAGTGGTGACACCCTGTGTGAGGAGTTTGTGGTTACATTTGCTCCTATGAGATGATTCCTGTATAGAACTTGTCCTTTTGAAAATACTCATTTCTGGGGGCCGGCAGGTGGCATAGTGGTTAAGGCACTGGACTCCCACATGGCCGACTGTAATTCGAGTCCTTGACCTGGCAGCTTGAAAATCATGCTGGGTATATGTTTGTGCATGCCCATAATCCCAGAAAGAGAATAGAGAAGGGATTGCAGTGTGGCCATCCTCCCGGGGGGTGATTTCTCAGTTTCCCTCGCCCTGTCTCTCTGTCCCTCTTTGGTGAGTGCATATTCCCTGTGGCAAAAACCTTTAAAAAATGCACATTTTCTATGTGCAATCTCAGAAGCACAGCGTGTCTGGGCAAAGGCATCTGTGCCATCCAGGCACCTTTCCTCAGGGCTGGAAGGCCAAACTGAACACTCAGGGTGCTGGCCCTGCCCTTCCCCCAGTTTGTCCCAAAGTGTCACCACCACCATCGTTACCACATGACTTCAGACGGGAGCCAGGGAAGAAGTTCGGGTTGCTGAGCATGTAGTGTGAGCAGACGCTGTGTGGCCGTTTCCCAGAAGCCACTCACTTAGAAGGAAGTCCCCTTCCTGAATGCCGAAGTCCAATGCAGAAGCAACACCGATGAGAAAACTGCTGTCTCCTGGACCGTGTATCCCTGCCCGCTGGTTTAACTACCTGCTTCTGTTTGGGAACTGGTGTCTGCCATGAGTGAAGGATTCAGTAACGTCCCCGTTGTTCTTTGCAGCTCGGATGAAGTACTTCCTCTGGGTCAGTGGCAGGAAGAAGGCTAGTCCCAGACCTTGAAAGACCTGCCTGTCCTAGGGCTGTGGCCCACAGGCCAGTACGGAGTCAGAGACCTGGCCGCCATTCAGACCCGAGTGGGGAAGGGGCTCGCTAAGGCCTCCCTGGTGGTGACCTCAGACCCCACAACACTGTTTAGCTGGGTGTTCTCATGACAGTAGGAGTTCTCTGCCACGCGGGGTGCTATGGGCATTTATTTACCAAGGGCCTGCACCATGCTGGATTTGGGGCCTCGGCGGGCTCACAGTTTGGTGGAAATCCTGTCTGTATGGCTTGCAGCCCTCACGTGAACGTAGGCTGGAGAGAAAAGTGCTCTTCTGCTGATTTCTAAAAACAAACTCTTCATTTTCCAATAATAGTGGATTTGTAGAGAAGTTGCAAAGATAGTAAAGAGAATTCCACCCTATTCTTCCCCTAGTTGCAGTGACCCTGATAACATGGACCACGGAACATTTGTTAAAATGAGACATTGGAGTCGGCAGGTGGCGTGATGATTAAGGACGCTGCACTCCCGTATGGCTAACTGTGTTTTGTGTCCCAGGACTTGCGGTTTGCTTTCTCACATTCCCTCTCTCTCTTTCTCTTGTTCGGTCCCTCTCTGGTCAAATTTAAAAATAAGTAAAAAAAAAATAAAGTTAAATAAGATAATTGTAAAAAAAAAAAACAGAGACATCACACTGACATTACTATGAACTGCTCTCTAGACTCGATGGGGTTTCACCAGCTTCCACACTAATGACCCTTGTCCTCTCCGAGATCTGGTCTGAGTTACCACGTTCCATTGAATCGGCCGGTTGCCTTGGTCTCCTCTGGTCTGCGACAGTTTCTCAGACTTTGCTTGTTAGTAACCTTGGTAGTTTGTTTGTTTGTTTGTTTTAGAGGTTTTTGCTATGGGATGCATGTGCTCCCCAGACAGAGAGAGACAGAGACAGAAAGAGAGAAATCACCCCCACCAGGGGGAATGGCCATACTGTGATCCCTTCTCCTCCATTCTCTTCTCGGGATCTTGGGCACGCTCGCACATACACCTGGCATGAGTTTAAGCCACCAGGTCCAGGACTCGAACTGTGATCAACTACATGGAAGTCCAGCAACATAGCCATTACGCTAACTGCTGGTCCCATGACCTTGGTAGTTTTAAGACAAAGTGGGCAGGTATTTAATTTAATATCTCTCCATTTCGGTTTGTTTCTTATGATTAGACTGGGGCTTCAGGTCTTTGGAAAAAATACCTCAGAAGTGAAGGACTCAGTTTTGCATCATTTTGGTGGGCATGTGACCTCCATGTGACATCACCGCTGATATCGACCTTGACCACTGGGGTTATGATTGTGTTTTCTGGGTTTTTCCTCTGCGAGTTCCTATTCCCCTTTCTCTACTCTACTTGGAAGTCAGTCACTAAGTCCAGCAGTCCACATCTTTTAAATCCTCAATTGTTGATATTTTAAAATGATGATTTTTTTTTTTGGGGGGGGTCAATTTTTCCAGAAGACATGTGTGATCTCTGGAGAGAGGGAGAGAAAGAGAGAGAAAGCACCCCCGATGGGGCCTGGTCATGCTGCAGTCTTGTCCCTCTTTCTCCTTCCTGTTGGGATCTCGAGTGTGCATGCACATACACCTGGCATGTCTTTCAGGCCTCCAGGCTAGGATTAGAACTGTGTAGTTCGCCATGTGGGACCTAGCTCCCTGAACCACCAGGCTTGCCCTAAAAATTGTAAGACATTTTAAAGATACAAGTTTCTGGTATTCCATGTGGCAGCTGCCCCTTGAGGTGAGAAGCAATCTCCCGGTTACCACAGGCCCACTCTGCCCTCCTCACTCCTTTCAGTCCCCCACCTGTCCCTGAAGGCACTTGAGTTGAAGACTCCTACCTTCCTTACCCCTGCAGCATCTTACATGTGGTTGGTTAGGTAGAACTTTCCACTGATGCAAGATGTTTACTTTTTTATTTTTAGAGGTTTTTTGCCATAGGGCACATGGACTTGCTTGAGAGAGAGAGAGAGAGAGAGACAAAGACAGTGAGAAATTACCTTCCTTGGGGTGTGGCCAGGAATAGCCATGCTCAATTCTTCCTCCTCTATTCTCCTTCTGGGATCTTGAGCACACATGCACATGTGCCTGGTGTAATTTCTTTTTTTTTTTTTTAGTCTTAAGATTTATTTATTTAATTAATTCAATTTGATATTATTATTATTATTATTATTTTATTTAACCAGAGAGAGGGAGAGAAAGGTAGAGAGAAAGAGAAGGGGAATGCAAGAAAGCAAGTCACCAGGTTCCGGACTTGAACCGTGGTCAGTCATGTGGGAATGCGGCGCCTTTAACCACCATGCCGCCTGCCAGCCCCCAAGCTGGCATAATTTCTAAGCCATCGAGTAGGGGACTCAAACTGACCATGTGGAGTCCAGCGATGCAACCACTGCGCCATCTGCTGGCCCCAATACAAGATCTCTAAGTCCCTAGATAATGTGCCCTCACTTTGGCAATAGATTTACATTTTAAAAATAATATTGTGGGGAACCAGCAGTTAGCGAAATGGCTATGTCGCTGGACTCCCACGTAGTCGACCGCGGTTCACATCCTGGACCCGGTGGCTTAAAACTCACGCCGGGCGTGTGTGCGTGCGTGCCCAAGATCCCGAGAGGAGAATGGAGGAGAAGGGATTGCGGAATAATAATAATAATAATAATGTTTGTGCCCTTCTTGAGCAGCAGAGAGACAAACGGTACGCTACATTCCATCTGTGATTTATCACCATTCAGCTTGGAGGGGATGTATGAAACACTGCTCCAAGAGAGAGACCCTCCTTACCTGTCCCTGGGGTCCTTTCACCACGGAGTCCACGGAGTCCACAGGCAGTTTCCCACAGCTGGGGGCAAGGAGCCTATCAGCCGCCCGATGGAGGAAACTCAGCCTCCCCCCCGTTGTCCTCAGAAATGCATTTGCTTCCCAGCCCTCTCCTGGGGATGAGAGAGATTTTTATGGGAAGGGCGGAGCCTTCCTCAGCCCTTGGAGAGGCTTTTGGCCAGCATAGCCCAGGTGAGATGAGGTAAATGCACCATTTGCATCTGTAAGTGCAGCGCTAAGGGAAGGGCATGGCTGGGTGTCAGTTACCTGAGCCAAATGGGCCAAAGACCACATACATCTTTGCCTTCCGTGAGGCCTGGGAGCAGGCAGGAGCCCAGCCTCTCCTGCCCCTCTGGTCAATGTGCCCACTCATCATGACAGCGGACGGGCCCCCTGAGAGAACCCAGGGCGTCGTCATCTGTGAACAAGGCCCCACTAATTGAACCCTTCCTTTCTTTTGGAGAAGTTTTTGTTGAAGGGCCAAGCACTCACCAGAAAGAGACAGACAAACAGAAAGCGAGAAATCTCTCCCCAGGGGGGATGGCCACGCTGTAGTCCCTTTTCCTCCATTCTCCTCTTGGGATTTTGGGCACGCACGCACTTGGCGCCAGGTGTGAGTTTAAGCTTGCAGGGTCTGGGACTCGAACCACGGTCGACTACATGGGAGTCCAGTGACATAGTCATTACGTAACTGCTGGTCCCCAACCCTTCTTGTTTTCTAGGGGGAGCCGTGGGGGGTCTGTTAGGTGCCTGGATGAGAAGCGGAGGGTTCAAGCCAGTTTCTCAGATCTTAATGCAGCTGCCGCGTGCCCAGCAGCAGACGCTCTTTAACGAAGCCACTGCCATCATCAGCCCCCTGATGTTCACAGACGCCACGCAGCTGACCTCGCTGGTCATGGGCAGCGAAGCCCTGCAGCTGCAGCTGATGGGGATGCTGGTCAACTTCCTCACCAAGGAGCTGGGAGCCGAGGTTCGGTAAGAGGAACAAGCCAGCCTCCGCGGGTGCGGGTTTCCTGTAGGTGATTCCGTGATCTCTGCTGTGACTGCGGAGTCGGGGGAGGCCCAGTGGGTTCTCTGAGAAATCCACACGTCTCAGTGTCCTACCTAAACTGGAGCCAGGTCACCTGCCGGAGAGGCGCCTGTGCTGCACCGCGTGCTGGAAGTCGTTCATGAAGACGTTGTGTTTCTCTGATCGTGTGCACTCATGTTTACCCACAGCCCTTCAACTGGAAGCCGGTGAAAAGCAAAGGCTTGCTGGGTGCAGGCGTCAGGGAGGCCTTGGCCTGTTGGGGTCTGGACGTTCTGCCCAGCTCACTGTCCCACCACACGGCATTCTCCTCCCGTTGGGGGTACTCCTAAGCGCCTGTGCAGGACTGAGGACCCTCTTAGAGTCTCAGGGCCTCAGACCCAGCTGGAATCATGTTACCTCCTGATGTGTCCTCTCCCAGCCAGTGACTGCTGTGTGACCTTAGGGAGGGGGGCAGTCAG